TATAAAAACAGTGTTTGTATGTTTGTTTAATTTGAAAGTCATGATAAATTTACTTGTATGTTTAATTTCCAAACTAACAAATTTATTGCTTGATATTATATGTGTGTGAGGGTTAATTATGTCATGTGAATTTGATAGATTATACCGCGATGTTTTTACTTGGACTGTAATTTGCTGGTCTGGTCTGATCTGGTCTGGTCTAAACTGGTCTGGTCTGGTCTGGTAAAGTCTGGTTTCTTTGTATTTTTGTAACTATCCAAATCTGTTCTGATCTGATCTGGTCTGAATTGGTCTGGTCTGGACTGGTCTGGTCTGGTCTGGGACAAATTAACATCCTTAGTTTGATGCATTTTTTAAACACTCAAAATATAAAAGGGCTTGGACTTTTGGCGTACTAAACCTTGCATTCACTCCGTGTATTGCATCGTGGAGACAGCATTTGGTAAGGGTACCATCAGTTTTTGGCTTAGCTTACTAATAATAATATACGGAGTATATGCATCATCAAAGTTTAGCGATGGGGATGGGGGAGAGGCAGAGAGCGGGTGAATAAAAATTTTAGGATTCTATTGTCCAGATAATAAATAATCCCAATAATAATCAAACGGAAAGAAAGATTCGAGACTTCGAGTACAAATCACAAACAAAAGCAAAATAATGATGTTCTTTTTAAGGAGATCTGGTTATGGAAAAGCGAATTCAACATCTACTAGTCTTGGGGTACACAAGATGTACACATATTGTACATCATATAAAAACCCCCCAAAAATTACCATTCCATTTACCCCCACCTTCTCTCCTCTCTTTCTTTCCTTCCCACTCCCCCTTCCCGTTGCTTATTTTCGCACGCAAACAAACACAGCAAAAAACAACTGTTCACTGAAGCTTCTTCTTCCTCCTGTTCTCTTCACATCTCGACGGAGGAAGTATACTTAGACTTGAGGAATGGATTATACTCTTGAGGAGATGGCCTTCATCAGTAGTTATGACATGGACGATTTTATGGGAGCTAAAGTAGACGAAGGCGGCTCCGTGTCTGAACCTCCGGCGACACAAGAAGGTGAGCTCTGTACGAAAGACGTCGGCGACGGAGAGGAAAAGCAGATGCTGGAGGTTGATGATGAAGAAGGTACGTGGAACGTAATGTCTGTGAGGACAGGCATTTCGTGTTTTCAGTGCATGTAGAACTGAATGACATTGTATTTGTATACTCTAACATTCATTAATGGCACTCCATGATTTTGAAGTAAAAGTGTTGTATTCGTATAGTATTTTGATGTAGTAAATGTTGATATTCTATTGCTTGTGCACACAGATGAAATAAAGTAAATGTGTTTTGCTATTGCCTGCCCACGGACGTTTATTTTTTAATAATCAATTTTTATATATGTGTTCTCTCATACCCGGATAACACTAATGTAGATGGTGGTACACCAGACGTCCATGTAGAAGTTGGGATGTTGTTTGCGGGAAAAGATGAAGCCTATGATCATTATAAGAATTACGCCAAACGTATAGGTTTTCCCATTAGGATTAGGAGCTCAACGAAAGACAAAGAAGGAAACGTAACAGGAATGTTAATTGAATGTGGTCGTGCTGGAAATAGAGTTTCAAAGTGAACAAATTGTTTGATGCCTGCAGCTACTAGTGCAATGGGTTGCAAAGCCCGGATCAAAGTAATGTATGACTATGCCGGGTCATGGGTTATTTCGAAAGTGCATGAACAGCATAACCACCCTATGAGTCCTACCAAAACTAGAGCTTTTCGTTGCAATAGGAGATTGATTATGAGCGCGAAGAGAAAAATTGCAATAAATGCGGTTGCCGGAATTCCTCTTCACAAAACCTACACCTCTGCCGTAGTAGAAGCCGGCGGTTATGAGAATTTACCGTTCATTGAAAAGGATTGTAGGAACTACGTTGACAAGTTTCGCCGCTTGCGTTTAGGAAATGGTGATGCCATTGCAATTCAAAGTTTCTTTTACAAAATGCAAGCGGAGTGCCCCGGTTTTTTCTTTGCCCTTGATGTAGATGAAGAATCTCGCCTTCGCAATATATTTTGGGCGGACAAGCGATGTCGGTATGCTTACAGAGATTTTGGAGATGTGATAACTTTCGATACAACTTATCTCACCAATAAGTACGACATGCCATTTGCACCTTTTGTAGGAGTAAACCACCATGGGCAATCCATCTTGTTTGGTTGTGGCTTAATTTCAAATGAGGACACCGACACATTTGTGTGGTTATTTACAAAGTGGCTTGAGTGTATGGATGGTTGTTGTCCTAGTGGAATTATTACCGATCAAGATAGGGCAATGCAAAATGCCATTCAAATTGTGTTCCCAAATACAAGACATAGGTGGTGTCTATGGCATATAATGAAGAAGGTGCCTGAGAAGTTGGGAGGGTTGACTGATAAAGATGAAGTTAGTGCTTGTTTACATGATGCTGTTTATGACTCCCAAACGGGTGCACAATTTGAGTTCGCATGGAGTTCTATGTTGCAAAGGTAAGCATTTGTTTTGTACAAGTTATGTTCAATATTACAACTATTGTAACATTCATGTTTTGTAATGTGTAGGTTTCATCTTAATGACCACGAATGGCTACATGTGCTTTACAATGAAAGACATCGGTGGGTGCCATGCTACTTGAGGCCAACTTTTTGGGCAGGGATGTCAACGACCCAACGGAGTGAGAGCATTAACGCCTTTTTTGACGACTTTGTTCATTCTAAAACAAGTCTAAAGGAATTTGTTGATCAATACGGACGTGCGTTGAAATGCAAAGTAGAGAAAGAGTTCCAAGAGGATGCTAAGTGTCTCACCAAAATGTTGCCTTGTGTGAGTATATATGCCATGGAACATGAGTTGCAACAAATGTACACACTTGCAAAGTTCAAGGAGTTTCGAGCTCAAATGGCCGGGAAGTTGCATTGTGACCTGTTAGGGTGTGAGGATGGTATACATTACAATATCCGTGAAGACAAAATGGAGAATGGGGTTTTTTTCAAAACAGTCCATGTTGTGGTTGAGTACGATAATTCTATCCCTAATTCTAAAGCCATGTGCACGTGCCACTTATTTGAGTTTAGAGGGATTGTTTGTAATCACATCATCACAGTCCTTGTGCGTAACGGAGTTCATGCCCTACCAGAGTGTTACATCATGCAAAGGTGGAGAAGAGATATCAAAAGAGGATACACAAGAGTAAAAATTAACTATGATGGTTGGATTATGACTAAAGAGCAACAACGGTTTGACAAGTTATGCACCACCTTTGAAAGACTTGCAAATAGTGTGGCTGATGATGATGAACATTATGAACGCGTCTCCACATGGGTTGAAGGTGAATTACAAAAATGCAACATGTCAAATGGTCGTTCGTCAATTTGTGGAGTAATGACTCAATTAACGGACACCCCGCCAATCCAAGTCGTAGGCGTGAACGGACAAACAATTGTTCCTATTGAAGATCCAAAGAGGACAAAACGTAAAGGCGCTCCGAGAAAGAATAGGCAAAAAGGGCCTATTGAAAAGGGAAAGAAAAAAGCTAAGGTACATTATATTCATTTGTCTGTGCATGAAACCGGCTCAATTTGTCTGGTCACAGACATTGAGCCACTGGAACCTGTATAAATGTCTGTGAGACTGGAATGAAATGTCTTCCCACAGACATTAAGCCACTGGAACCACTGGATTACCCAAAGTATAAATGTCTGTGAGACTGGAATGAAATGTCTTCCCACAGACATTAAGCCACTGGAACCACTGGATTACCCAAAGTATAAATGTCTGTGAGACTGGAATGAAATGTCTTCCCACAGACATTATGCCACTGGAACCACTGAATTAACCAAAGTATAAATGTCTGTGAGACTGGAATGAAATGTCTTCCCACAGACATTATGCCACTGGAACCACCGGATTACCCAAAGTATAAATGTCTGTGAGACTGGAATGAAATGTCTTCCCACAGACATTATGCCACTGGAACCACTGGATTACAAAAAGTATAAATGTCTGTGAGACTGGAATTAAATGTCTTCCCACAGACATTACGCCACTGGAACCACTGCATTACCCAAAGTTTAATTGTCTGTGAGGCCGGAGGATAGTGTCTGACCACAAACACTTGACCACTACAACATTCAAATTTGTTATCGACTCAAATTGTGTACTATTGCAATGTATAACAGGGCCCGCGAAAAAAACAAGTTGGGAAAGCATCAGTGGAAGTGGCCGGACCAAGCAACATTGAAGAGGTAGTACCAAGAAACGTTGCACCAACCAATTTAGAATGGATGTATAATGATGACTTAAGCTTGAACCTTTCTTTGTTTTAGCCCTTGGGCAATTACAACGCATGTAATGACTCAATTTTTGTATCATGTCACTCAATGACATTTTGTCACATACTTTGCAATATATATATTCTAAATGTCGCCATTAATTACATATTGTGACAATGTACGAATCAATACAAAAACCACAATTTCACTATGCTAAAAAAAGTTAAATATTGGAATGTTCACATCCAATATACGACCATCATATACTGCAAAACCAGAAGTTGATATACATATGTTTGGTTTAGGGATTACATCAAAACATAAGCATATATATAACTACTTCGGGCATATGATGGACAAATTGTTGCAACAAAAAATAAGTACTTTGGTTTAAGTGTTTTTTCCCATCATTTACAAGGACAAAAATATACATGTGGACAGCCCTCATACATTCTTCAATCTTCTACGCTTTCTTCCTGAAACCCCATAGACGTACTGCAAAGTTGTTTCGTATGGTGCGGCAGTTGTCGTACTCACACCCGGGTGTTAAGGGGAGGTCATGCATCAAATGTTCAGCAAACGCCATAACCATTACACCGCATACTCCACTCCTGCACAAAAGTAAGAACAAAGTCATATATACATACACGATTCCACTGGTCATCAAACATCATAACCATAAGATTATTTTTCTTGGTTTTTTTACCCTATTCCTTGTTGCGGAACCCCATGAACAGCCACTGCCTCCCATGGTCTAAGGTGTAAGGGACGTGGGAGGTCATGTTGAATCTCTTGAAGTAGATAAGGAAGCCTCGAACACAAATCAAATGCATACCACGCACTTCGGGAAGTCTTTAAGGAATCATAAACTTTAACCACGACCTCCTCCAAATTCACCTCACACAATATCCAGTGTTTATTTTCAACATTCAACGGAATTAATACCTGATAATGAATAAAGTATGGGTTGAAGATGTATGTGTAGCATTGCATTAAGAATTTAATTGTATGTGGACAACACAATATAAGTAACAAGTCACACCTTTGACAACCCACGCCAGTCAATGCGTTTCAAGAATCTGTCTCCACTCCAATCTTCTGGCTTGTCAAATCTCTTCTTCTTCAATTGATTCTGCATTTAGGCAAAGATAGACAGAAATTGCTTTAATACTAATGGGAGACACCTACACTCCATAACATGTGGATGTTAGAGATTACCACGAAAAACATGGAGATTATTTCACATTTTTGACCCTCAATTCTGTGGCTCATCAACAAGTTGGTTATGGCATCAATGTGCTGCAAGTAAATGGTTAACATCACGGATTAAAATGTATGTCCAAAAACGTTGCACACAGGCAATTAGTAAAAATTACTTATTAAAAATGACTTTATGCATATAAACTTACCATACTGCTCAGCCATTCCTGTGGGGCTATCAGGTCACAGAAAAACTTTCTATCAACAGACATATAGATTGGCATGTCTAACATCACACACACCGGTTCCTCAGTAGCAGGGGCTTCTGCCCAAGTCTTTAGCTCATTCAAGACTTTATCTTCTTCCGGAATTTCAGTTTCGCTTCCAAGTTCACTCGGCTTCACCCGCTTAGCACACGGATCCATAAAGGGACTGCTATGATACTTTGAGACGAACCTCTTTCTTTTTTTCCTTTCATATATGGCAGGTTGGGCTTTGGTTATTGCAACATCTTCTTCAAGAACATCCTGCCATTGCACATTTGTAAAAGACGTTGAAGCAGTGACTGATGCATCCAAGAATGCCACATCCTACGAAATTGAAATAAATAATGTGTTTAGATATGTGCACAAACCAGGAACACTATTGATATTCACACACGAATTTTAATGTAAAGATAGTGGTAAAACTTAACCTTAGGAAGGGATTCTTCACAATCTCCTAAGACCAGATCCACATCCTCCAACTGCAAAACAAGAAAAATGTTAGGAAATATGAATGACTGGTAAAAAGAAGATGTATGTCAATGTCGAGGCACTAACTTCTTCCAAAATACAAGTAATGAGGGTTTCTTTAGGCAATGCAGGAACACTGGGATGAACATCTTCAACATCCTTCTCATTGAAGCACAAATACATGTAAGTACACACACATTCATTAATGGGGGTGGTTATGCACACACAATTTGGGAAGTGTACCTTTTCGGCCATGGCGACAAGCGGCGTTTGTGGGTCACTACCCTGATCATCTTCATTTGACTCATGCTTCAAACACACAATGTGAATAGTCTAAATATATATAAATAAAATAAAGACGATAATAATTGAGGGGTATAAATAAATAAGATAAACCTCGCTTCCCTCATTGTCTGCAGTTACCACGACCGGACTACAATGCTCGCTTCCCTTATTTTCTGCCTCAACCTGTAAACCACGAAGATCTGTAATTGATATTGGTTTGACTGACATATACATATGCGTATACTTACATTTACAGCTTACATCACAGACAAATGAAGTGAGCTGCATACAAAAATTCCAATCATACCTTGTCTTCAGTTACCACGGCCGGAGTGCCATGCTCTCTTTCCTCAGTCTCTTCAATTGAATCATGCTGCAAATTAGGCTCTCCACTGTGGACTAAATCCTCCTCCTCGGGCTGTAAAGCACAAATACCTCTAACTGTTAATACTTTGACAGACATTAAGAACAAAGTACACAGACATTTACATATGCGTATACCTACATTTAGAGCTTACTTCACAGACAATTGAGTGAGGTGCACAAAAAATAAGGCAATCATACCTTCGCTTCAGTTACCACGGCCGGAGTGCCATGCTCGCTTTCCTCACCCTCTTCAATGGAATCATGCTGCAAAGTAGGCTCCTCCTCAGCCTGTAAAGCACAAACATGTGTAGCTTTTAATACTTTGACAGACATTAAAAACAAAGTGCACAGACATTTACATATGTGCCTACACACATAAGGCAATCATACCATATTTTCCATGCGCTCATCCGCCACGTCATGGTCAGTACAGTGGTTAGCTTGAACATCATCACGCTTGCCATTATCCTTCTCAGCACTGGCCAGTTCCTGTTTGGTAAGCACATTAAAATAGATGTACTACACAGACAATAAAATCGATGGACACAGACAACTACATTAATGTTCACAGACACTAACATATACTTCACAGACAAAATCAATTGCATACACATAAACTTGTAATCTGACCTGCTCTTGTGTGGGAACACTCCCATGCAGAACCACCCCCATCACCTTAGATAACATGTCTTTGACCTCAACCAGTGTGGCCTCAATGCCTCTAACACTTGTCCTCAACTGCTGAATTTCATCCTGTGTTTTTGCAAGTTGTTCCAACACCTTCAATTTGCGAAGAAGTTTGACATCCTCATCTTCTAGTCCATCTTCTTCGCCATCAACTTCTTCCCCAGCATCTTCTTCTTCTTCATCACCATCCTCCTCCTCATCCTACGGACCAAGTCAAGTAATTAGATTACAAATTGTGATATTAGTTCATGCGTGTTATTATAAAATATAATTAACAACTTCTTACGGTTTCTTCTAAAGGTTCTTCCTTAAAAACTAGTTCCTTCAAAGTAGTACAGTGAAAAAACCCTGTAGCTTTCCAGTTGAAAAGACTAGCTTCTTCAGATTTGAATTTGGTGCCACATCTTGGAGCAAGCCCAGGGATTTTCTCATACGCCCAAACCTGAATACACAACCCAATAAATTGTTAATGAGATGTCTGCCCATAGATAAAACAGATTGTCACACAGACGATTTATGCAATTATCAAACAATGTACAAACGAACCTGCAAGACATGGGGTAAGGCCCAAAGAGTGAACTTACAGTTCTTGTACTTCGGGTTATTAGCTACAGAAGCCTCATACTTCTCCGGTTGATCACGCATCAACGACTTCATATTGGACACCATTAGGTTATAAGATTCAAGGGCCCAAGGATATTTTTTGAAGTTCTCAAAGTCTTCCACCCAGTCAAGATGATTGGCATTGATCTTTGTGTCGTGGTTTCTAGCCAGCAACATACAATCTACCACAAAAAGTGAAGCCAACTTCACAACTGCTAAGGAGTCAACCCTCCTCTTCGGATTTAATGCTGCCATTGTTTCCTTCAGTTCTTCGTACGTGACACGCTTCTTTCCTTTAAAGAATAACTTACCCACACTACCTTTCTCACTGTTTTTCACAAAACGGGGTCTGGTCGTGTATGCCGGAAGATGAGTAATAGCACAAAAATCTTGAAAAGTGAACTTAAAGATTTTCCCTCGTATAGAAAACCAAAGCTCATCCACAGGTTGTCTCTGAACCATCCGCAACAACAACATATGGACAATCTGCCCTGAAAATTGGAGTTCTGGAGTTTCAGCCAAATGTCCCCACGGAAGGTTCTTAAAATTTTGCAGTTCACTCTCTGGTATAGAAGCCAACAAGTTTTTATATTTCCCAAAAGATGAGCACAAAGAATATTGCGCCGGGAAGTGGGACTCAACCGGGACCACCAATTCATGCTTCTTCCTACGAATTACACAAAAGAAGTCGTTCATGTACATACTAAATCAGTTACAACTACTTCAATTGTAAATACCACACAATGCAGCGTCCCTAAGATGTTCAAAATCCTACAACATGGTCACTTAACAACCCCAAACCCCTCCTGTATAGTGCATTGTCATTCTAATTTTATCACTAATGTTAATTAAGTGTCAACTTCAAAAATACCATACACATTTCAAAAAATTATTAATTACCAATGAAGACAGACAACACATCACAAACTACAGACAATTCAAGTCACACGTAAATATATAAAACGACTTCCATGAAAATCAATTGAACAAGGTTAACCGTCTGCCCACAGACATTATACTTCCAACTCTCAAATAAAATCAAATTCTTACAACCCGGCCCCTTAAGGTTCCCACACCACCATTTACAGTGTTTCTCACTTCATCAAACTCTAATTTTCAACTTTCTCCTTCGAAATCTCATATTGATTTTTTTTAAAAAAAAATACAACTAACACATACCACACAATAGGGGGTGAAATTCAACAATACTACTCACAAATATGTTCAAGAAGAGGATATCCCGTTTTTTTGAAGACTCAGCAAGAGATGACAGTGAAGTACGAACCATCGCGCCGGCTTCTTCCGGTGGAAACTGCCCGCTACAGACGGCTTTGAGGTTGCCGCTTGGAGACGAAGACAGTGAGGCGCTTCAACAAGGAAGACAAAGGAAGACAGACGCAGCGGTGCTAGGCGAAGAGGATGAACGGCGAGGGGGATATGCGCAGAAATCGAAAAAAAAAATCGAAGAGAAAGGAAGGGGAGAGTGGAGTGGAGAGGCGGGAGAAATGGGGAAGAGGTTCGCACGTGTGGGAGAGAGGTGGGGAAGGGGGGTAAAAAATCTGAAAAAATTTTATTTTGCCCTTTTATATGGTGTACATCTTGTGTACATTAGATGTACACATAGCATTTTCGATTCAACATACTACACGACTATTGCAGTGCTGCCTGCCTAGCATAAATTGAGTGTACTCGTTTAGATTACATAACCTGTGACGGCAAATTACATAAATACTCCTTTCGGTGTGGGGAAGATACTTTCTTTTGGACTGTTTTCAATTCCGGATTAAACCAGATTAAATCAGATTAGACTAGATCAGACTTTTGTAGTTATAAAATATACATAGACCAAACGTTTATCAGACCAGACCAGACCAATTCAGATCAAACCAAACCAGAGTAAACCAAAGCAGCAAATTTCAGTCCAAAAGAAAACATCCTTAAACAAAGTCATATCATAATGTAACAAATAATAAGATATTCAAATAAACTGAATTGATCAGATTTAAAACAAAAATAGTGCGATTGAAAACATCTTTTTTTTTATAAAAGGTAAATGTATATTAATTGACAAAGAATAAATACAGCATTAAGGGGTATATCCCTTTCTGCTGAAGCAAAACATTCCTTTGCTCAGCCATAGCATTCACTCATCCAAAATAAATCCAAGCAGAAACTTACCCCAAGCCTAGAAGTCAATCATATCAGATGGATAGATTCTAAACAGAACACGATAAATAATCTAATCTGCAATACAAGGTTTTGGATAGTAACCATCTTCTTAGCAAAAATGCAGTCATTTCTAGCTTTCCAAACAGCATAAACTGAGCAACATAAAGCTAACCGGACAGTCTTGCTGTTTAGCCTAGCTCCTCTATAATGTTTAAGGCACATCTTCACGGTGCTCAGTATCGTGGATGAATTTCTTCTAAACCCGAGCCAATATTTTATCTCCCTCTAAACAGCAGCAGTAAAGGAACATTTAAAGAAAAGGTGATCAACAGTCTCCAAATGTTTCTTACAGAAGCAGCAAGATCTATCCATTTCCACATATGATAGGTTGTCACAGGTTGCAAGTCTATTTCTAAGGCCCGACCAAAGAATGAATGAGTACTTTGGTGGAATATAGTTCTTCCAAATTAGGTTCATCCAAGGTTTACTATGACTTTTTACCCTTAAAATGTCATAGACCTTACCAGATTGCAGACTGCCTTGATAACAAAGAGGATTCAACTTCTGCACGATGGTTCCATTTCGCCCTTCCAGTAATGTGATTAATGTATCCCTGATCTTAATCAGCTTGTTGAACAAAGGAGAAACACCAGAGGGAGGTGAAAACATCTTTAATATTGGAGTTTTTCCAAAAATATTGTTAAATAAATAAATATTTCCAAAAGTAGTGTTGGGTTAAAAGTATTTCCCAAAATGCTGCTGGAATAACCATAGTTAAATAACCATCACTTTGGCGCCTTATATGCATTGAAAAACTAACGCACGATACAAAGCCAGGGGATAGAGAAGTTGAGGCATGGTCCACCATCATATAAAATATCATGATTTTTAAAGTGGTATAACTTTTTTTATTTGTATTCCGATTGATATAAAAATTATATCAAAATTCATAACTTTTTATTATCTTTCATATGACATCAATATTGAATATATAAAAATTATAAAATAATTTGACACTATTTATTTGAAGTGTCAAATTATTTTTTTATTTTATATATTCAATATTGGTGTCAAATGAAAGATAATAAAAAGATATGAATTTTGATATATTTTTTATAAGAATCTGAGTACAAATAAAAATGATATAGCGCTTAAAAAGTAGATATTTTAAAAGTGTCAAATTATTTTATATTTTTATATACACAATATTGATGTCATATGAAAGACAATAAAATATAATAAATTTCGATATATTTTTATAACGATCATAGTGCAATTCAAAAAGGATATAACACTTTAAAAGTACTCCGTAGATATTTTTAAAATGTCAATTTTTTTTTATATATTCAACATTGATGTCATATGAAAGATAATAAAAAATTATGAATTTTGATATATCTTTTATAACAATCGGAGTACAAATACAAAAGTTATAATAGTTTAAAAAACATGATATTATTTGGTGGTGGGACCCATGACTCAACTTCTCTTCACTCAGGGCCGGCTTTAGGGGCATTTACCCTAGACATTTGTCTAGGGCCCCCAAAATTGAGGGGCCTCCAATTTCTAAATTATCCATAGTAGTATTATATATACATTTAATTTATATCGTAAATAGTTTCAATTTTGAAAGTTACGCTAGTTCACGCTTGCGGCTTTTAAATACGAAATATACGGCTTTAACACATTGATGTTTATCGCACCTTCAGGCCAATTCACATCTTAAAGTCTTCTGTCTTTTAAGCATTTATAATTTGATTTCTAACTATTTTTCTATTATATTTAGATTGTTACGGTTCTTAAATTTTAATGCTTATTAAATTATTTATTCATTTAGCTTTTAGTTGTGAAAATAATTTGATTAAAATAACTCGTTGAATATGTGTATTCCAGATTTGATATCATTTAGTTGTGAGAATCGGTTTTACATTTTTTAGTTGTGATATCATTTAGTTGGGGAACTAATTTTTTAATCTTTCATTAATTGTGAAATTAGTTTCGTTTAGAAAATTTATTTAGTGCTACCTATTAATTAGTTTTCACTCCATAAAAAATAACATTTTCTTATTTATTGAATACGTAGTATATGCCTAGTTAGTGCTGCTTCTATTCGGTTGAATATTTGCTTATTTATTGCTACCTATTATATATTTAGTTTGTAATTGCATTTGAGGAAAAAATGGGCTGCTTATATTTAGTGCTGCTTCAATTCCGTTCTTGAATATTTTCTTATTTATTATTACGTATTATTTCGTACAAAATTGTGTGTTTTGTGGTCAAGGAAAAAGAAAACAAATTACATTCTTCCTCAAACATTGTTGACAAATGCATATAAACATTGTTGGCATTTTTCTACGCATATAACCCGCCACTTCAAGTGGCGGTTCTTGAACTATGGTTATCCCAGCATTATTTTGGGAAATGCTTTTAACTCAACATTATTTTCGAAAATATTTATTTATTTAGCAATATTTTGAGAAAAAACTCTTTAATATTGGTGCTGATGTTTGTAATTCATTCGACTTAAAGTGTAACGAAATAAAGCTATCTTAAACTACTACTTTTATGAGGTTAACTTTTTTAATATGAATTTTAAGTCGTAATTAATAATATTACTTACGTCCCAACCATTGTGACATGTGGGGTTATGTGAATATATGTTGATATTCAATTTACAAAGTTTACCAAATTTAGTATGAGACAATCTAAATGAAACGGGATCGAAAAAGAAATATGAGACAATCTTAGCGAAAGAAATATGAGACAATCTCAGCGAGACAGAAGAGTATAAGGCCCTGTTTGGTTGAGTCGAGTTTGATAATAGTTTGGTTGTTTATGAGATGTAATTTTATCTAGCCCATTTTATTAGTTGTTTGTTTGGTCCACTTTATGTTGAAAGAATTGTGAAAATGGCTATTTTTCAAACACGTGGTTATCATTTTTAAAATAATTTGAATTAAAAATTTCTTTCAACAAAGTTTAATTTTCTTCTCCATTTAATCCTATACTAGTCTCCATTTAAATATGGCAGTTATATCACTAGTTATACAGTTGGATTGTATGGTATAGCCAATGCAATTCTTTGATTAACAACATCTCATACTAGAATCAATAGCAGGAACTGCAAGTAATTAAACATCCATCATATTTCTCTAGCTCGGACAGATGAAGTGTGCAAGAAATTGCACAAATGTTCATTGAGCGAAAGGCTAAAACAAGCACAAACTGTAAGTGGAAAATACAGCTAAGAGATTTTCTTTTCCTTTAATTAACCTGTTTTCCCTCTTAAGCACATCAGTCTAGGAAATGTTCCATTACATCTGAGCACATTCCTGCAGCCTCATCACCTCTATACTCTGCCATGGGATGCAAATCCAGTGAAGTTGAGGATGAGGACGACACCATTCGGGCAGGCAGCGTATAGCTCCTCTTGAACTTATTATTCTCGAGATGGCGAACGCGATGTGGTGATGGGTTGTAATGGCAGTCCAAGCTAAGGAATTCGTTGTGATGGCTCTGGTCCATCCTGTTTTCAGGATTGAATAGGAGCCTACCAGGGGAATCGTCATCTGCTCGTCCCCCCGCAAGAGCACTGAAGAAGCTCAGACCATTAGGCCACTTGATGTCATTCGCTTGGTCTCTTATCATGCCTTCCATTCGAGGTTCTGATGATGAATGGGGAAGGAGAAACATGTGGGAGGATGACGAATCGTCTTTGCATGGTGGAATTCCAAGATTGACCGAGTTCTGGAAGCTCGGAGAAGACAAGACTGAGGGTGTTGAAGACATTGACCAGTTGAAGGGTGGAGGCAGGGGGCGGTTAGGTTGCTTGAGAGTTGATGAAGAGTGTGGCGTGGCGTTCCGGGTTGAAGAAAAGAGCTGGGAGAGATAGAAGCCAGACTGGTAGCCTAGTGACTCAAAGGTGTGTCTCATTCTCAGCACAAAATGCAAATCTTCTGGTATCTAAACATTAAACAAGTAAGATTATATGTGTCTGAATACATTCTCCATGTATGATCAAATCAGATATCCTTAAGGCTTTGTTAGATCACAGGCAAATGCTAGAGAAATGAAAGAAAATGGTAAGGAAAGAGCTTTTCTTGTGTTTGAACGTAGCTTAAGAAATGCACAGGGAAATGGAATATGAAATGTTTTTAAAACTCTTACAAATATTTACTGTTTAGTAATTATACATTTTTCTTTTCACTTCACCTCAAAAATATATATTAACTTCTAAGGAAAACATTATATAATCCGTATGCTTTCTTTCTTTAAACAAATTTCAATCGCACAATTTCTACTTTTTTTAATATTTTCCTATTAAATCGGGGATTAATAAGGGACAGAGAGAACCCATATGGATTGAATACAAATGAACTGGAACAAATATTAAAGGCAAATTTATTGAATTTGAATTTTGAAATAGTAATTTTCTTTCCCAATCATTTTCGCTTTCCAATCAGATCCATAATATTTTACACAGAAGCAAACAGGTTAATAGATGTGAACTCTAGCTGCACAACTATGTCTCTTGGAAATATTCTTCACATTATTTCCCAAAATAATAGAAGAAAATATAAAAAATTACTACTCCAAGAGCCCAATTGCACAACTATGTGTCTTGGAGTATTAGTTTATCTTATTAGAACACAAAAAGAATTGAGGGAACAGAACTCACAATCTTGCAAGAGCCCAATTGCAGTAAGCCATGACCAGCTTGAATTACTGCAATAGTCTGGATAACAAGATCAACAAATGAAAGATTGGAAAAAGTTAAAAAATAATCAACAATAAGACAAATAAAGGTGTGAAAACCAACTAGTACTCACTACAGGAAAAAAAATGAGGGTGGAAGAAAGTCTGACCTGAATGCCTGACTCAAACTGATCTGACCACTCTTGCGGAAGCTGCAGGGAAGAAGGAACTCATCAGCAATCATTCATTCTTTAAAAAAACATGTTCAAGATTGGCAGCAATAATTCTTGAAAATGATAAAAACAAAGATTCCCCCTCTTTGTCACTTTCCTCAACCAGACCTCAAGCAAACATTGAGGGCAAGATGGTAATAAAATGAAGAAGAATAAGAAGAAATAAACAAGCAAATGAACTCTTTTGTTTTGTGTGTGTGTGTGTTGGTATTTACAGCATCAAAAGAGCTCTGCCAGTAGTTGGAGATGTTTGGTTCACATTCTGTAGGCTCCTTGAAAACCCATTTATGGCACTTATCAGATGCAACTTTCCCCATTAACCTGCAAAAAAAATTAACAACACACTTAGCTATACCACACATAGCTCCCTTCCAAAAATATCCAGTAGAGAGAGAGAGTGTGTGAGAGAGGAGGGCAGGGAGGGTTTTGAGAATCCAATACCACCAAATCACCTACCCAGTACCCACCCTTCTCCATAATTATATAACTGAATGGACATCTTGCTGAAGGCCTTCCTGACCAGGTCCTCCCCTTCCATGTCCCCCATACACTCTGCAACTCTCCCTCTGCAGAACCCATCTTCCCACATCAGCATCCTGCATCATATTTCCCAACAACAGAAAAAAACAAGAAAAATGAGATCAAGCTAGCATCTTTATGGTTGAAATCAGATGGAGACAGTAGTGTATCAATAAGGATGGGAGAGAAAGAGTGAACAACAGAAGAAAAAACAAGAAAAATATGATAAAGCTAGCATTTTTATGGCTGAAATCAGATGGAGACAGTAATTTATCAGTAAGGGTAGGAGAGAAAGAGTGAACAACAGAAAAAAAAAACAAGAAACATGAGATAAAGCTAGCATTTTTATGGATGAAATCAGATGGAGACGGTAATTTATCACTCAGGATAGGAAAGAAACTGAGAAAGAGTGAAGAACTGAACATACAAGCTACCACTCTCATCTCCAACTTTGCAGCCATTGCCGCCGCGGACCCGCCTGCAAGAAAACACAGGAAAGTTGATGGAGAGAAGAAAGAAAGGAAGGGGGGAGAGACAGAAAGGGAGAGGGACAAACGGGCGAGGGCGAATGGTCCAGAAGACTGAGTAAGTCCAGTCTGAAGAGGTGAGACAAACGCTTCTGAGGGCCTCATGAAGGGCCATCATCCCAACCGCTTCTTTGCTTCTCTCTGTTGCAGCTGCTCCAGAAGAGCCCACCATCTCTTTCTGCCTTTTCCCCTCTCTCTCTATCTCTATCTGCCTTTCTTGCTCCAAGTAAGGCCCTTTTGCTTCCCTTCTGCTACTTCTATGGAGCAACATACAATAATACTATTCCTCTCGTGTTGTGAAATGCTAAAAAAAATCTGCTGTGCTTTTTATCTTTTTCTCAGTCTCGGCCGCACCCAACAACTACTACACAATGTGATGCTTGGGAAACAGAGGGCAATTCTTTTGTTACATAGGCTTTCTTGGTTTCTCTCTCCCACCCCACCCAGCTAAAAGTCCAAGATTGCTTTTGCTGTTAACTTTATTGTTTTTTATTACCGTATTCACTATCAGATAAGCCAAACCGATGGCCCCTCTGGTACGGCTAACAAATCACGGAATCACCTAAAATTCTTCGGACCGAAACAGTGCATAGGTGTACTTTTTATTGATAAAAAACACCTTAAATGAAATTTAACAGGTTCATGAATCAAATAAAAATTGCCCCGCCCCAAGTATAGAACCATTATTTTTACGAAAATATGGAGTAATACTTACTGTTCCCTTTGTCCCATAAAAGAAAACGTATTTGTCAAATTTCCTTATTGAGGCATCTTTAAAATGTTTATCAATTCCTTCACAAATTTCAACTTCACGATTTTTACTTTCCTATTTAACATGCAAATCAAAGTTGATCAAGTTTTATGGGACAAAGAAAGTATAACATTATCTTTTATAAATATAACCTTCAAAAATGTACAATGTATTCCATATTATTTATTCTTATAGTCATACTGTAGCTCTGCTGATAATCTCCTATAGACAGTGGCGGACCCACCTTGTGTCACACAAGCGCCCGAGACTCCACCGACTTTAAAAAATACCTATATATATTATGTATGATTTATATAAAACTGACCAATTAATGAATATATATTACAAATGCTTGTATAATATTCGCACGGGTGGCTCAGTTGGTTGAGTTGTTGAAAAATTGGATGAATGATCAAGGTTTAAAACCCGCAGCGATCGTGTGGATGTTACAACCCCTGCACGTTAGGTTAGACCTCTAGTGCGCACAAGTATAAGGCCTATCACCATTGGACCGACTGAATCACCGTGATTTACATCCTCTCATATGCCTTGTCGGATCGGTGTGGGGGGGCTTGGGGTTGGGATTCAACCTTTTGAAGGAACAAATGCTTGTATAACAGTTATATAATAGATCGGAACAGTGGTCGCACACGCGAGGTCTAAGGTAGACAAAACTAGTATTAGAAAGCGAAAGGCATAAGTTAGAAATAAGACTAAAATGAGGCTATTTATAGTAGTCTTAAATGTGAAGCGCATATTAAATGTTCGTACATGTGTTTGATAATTTATGGGGGAAGGTTGACCATGTAAGAATGGGAGACGTGTGGTGACACTGATGTCCAAACTGTTGACCAAGGGGCTTATCGCCCTCGTCTATGTGTTGGTGATGGAGTCCACTAGTGTCTTTATCTTGTGAGTGAAGATGTGTTTTCCTTAGTTTGGCCAGGGGTGCATGAACAAAGGGATGATGAACGAATGCAATCCACACTTCTTACTTGATTCTAGTGTGGATAGATAATATATTATCTGAATTGTTCTGAACGGTGGTATCCTCGTCTCCCCAAGGGGCCTAGCTGAAAAACAATGAAATATAATTGTTACACCATATATATTCAAATAAATGTTACTCTTTTGTTTGGTCGCCGTGATTTTTATTGGTAAGACCATGACTAGTTTTCTTCTCTTTAACATACGTTGCTACGTCGTTATTTTGTTTGTCTAAGCTGCCAACTCAATTGGCAATTTTTTAAGCCGCCAACTCAATTGGCAGTTTTTCAACTGGGTTTCACATCAACTATATATTTTAGAATATACTTTTAATTTGACTTTGATTTCATAAGTATAGTTTACACTTGTGAATTAGAGTAGAAAATGATGATGCTTGAATCATTCAAACAAAACAGAAGATGAATGAGAGAGTTGGGAAGGTGATGGCGTGCAAGTGTGCGTATGCAAGCGTGCGACGGTGCGGGAAGGATGTTCGACGAGGGGACAAATTATATTCATCCATCGCACAAAACGGGGAGGATTGCTCGGAAACGGAATACTAAAAATATATACTTAAAAAAAATTTAAAAAAAAATAAAGCCTAGAGAGCAAGGGACCCGACGCCTAAATTGACCACCTTGTGCTTTCAATGTCCTCTTACTCTTGTTTTCTTGCTGACCATGGTCCGCGCAATCAGGGGATCACAAAATCAAAGTTCGGCGGTTTCTTAATTGAAAACCCCAAATTGTGGATCCAACATTGCTTCATTTATTTAGGATTCCTTTGGGCTTTAGCATTCTGTTTCTCTGTCACAGGCTTTAGCAGTAGTTTTCCTTTTTTTCCACTAAAATTTTGGGTTTTTTTGCGAGAAAATATTTGGATATTTTTCACTCAATTGTGTGGTACGAAGTAACGACGATAAAATTAAGATTTGATATAGTGTGTTGAATAATAAAATATGTAAAGTTGAAGTTACTTGTCCATATGAAATACGTAGTGGTTGAAATTAGGGATGGCAATGGGGCGGGTTTGGAGCGGGGGTACACTCCCTCATCCCCCGTCCCATGTCTAAAAAGTTCCCCCCATCCCCGCCCCATCCCCCGTTACTCCCTGACCCGCCCCATCCCCGCCCCACCCCATTGTCCCCCACGGGTGCCCACGGGTGCCCTCATATAGATTTAATTTATCGTATTTGCATATACTTTTAATCTCTTATTATAAATATATGTAGTGCGATTCCAATGAAAACAATGCTTAACGTGGGAAAACTAACATTTAATTCAATGTGATACACAATAATCCAATGTGATACACAATAGAGCCATTCTAGTGCACATGTGGACTTCACTCAATACAAGCTAATTTAAATAATCACGGTGGCACTTTTGTAAATATTATGCTAGATACAAAAAAGTGCATTGTGCGAGCTCATTGTGCTTCACATTGGAGGTAAATGTTGTGTTCACACATTCTCATGTTAAACGTTGTTCTCATTTGATCCTAAGCCTATATATATCTACGTGCACACAATTATATATGACACACACACAACACTGAAGTATTGTGTTTGTTAAAAGTTAATACCACAAATTTTAATAATTCTTCAATTTGAATAAGTTTTGTGAATTGTAGACAATTAAAGTAAAAACACAAGTAAACATATTATCATCATGTACGTTGTTTCAAAATTCTCAACAATTATAATACAATTAATCACATACTACGTATTATATTACATATAAATGTGTGTGTATTTATTTACTCACTTTCTCACTCTTAAAACTCATATACGAAGTAACATTTATGATAAATATTTTTAATCATCACTAGCTTATTATTCTAGTATAATATGTATTAATTCATTAACCATGATTAAACCGTATACAATTATGTATGTCTATATGTATATGCGTTTGTTATATACTACAAAATTTTAATTTAATACGTGTGTACATTATTTATATATGTGTATATATATGTTTGAGTATATATTCATAACGGGGACAGGGCGGGGACAGGGCGGGTGTAGCAATACCCATCCCCCGCCCCATATTTTAACGGCGTAAAAATATTTCACCCATCCCCGCCCCCGCCCCCGCCCCACTCCAAGCCCCGCCCCATCCTTCCCCCGCGGGGCGGTTCCCCACGGGTCCCCGCCCCCATTGCCATCCTTAGTTGAAATGGCTGAAACGGTTTAACTATTTTCATATAATTTTTTCATTATCTTAGTAATAAAAAAATCAAATACTTCTTCCATTCGTTTTTTGTTGCAACATTCCTATTGCCGCACTTGCCAACGCACAACTTTTACAGTCATTATATTTAGTTCTCTAAAAATAAAATAAAATTAAAATTAAAATCATATTATGAAAATTTGAAGGGGAAAATAATTAAAATACACCAAACTTTGAAGGGGTGTGAGATGAACACCCCAAACTTGCATATGTATTTTAAATACCCTAAACTTTATACACAAAGCTATTTTTGAACCATTGTCAACTATTATTTCTTTCAAAAATAATAATTGATGGTGTTAATTTCATAATTTAAATATTTTAGAATTCATGAAGACACAATTAACAGTATAAACTTCAATTGCGAAATAAATAATGTTACCCCCAATCTATATAATTGCAACACTTTTCATTTGATATTTTAAATTATGCAATTAACCTCATATATTTACATTTTTTAAAGAAATAATACATGAATGGTGCGAAAATAGCTTTTTATATTAATTTTTCGGTTTTAAATTACATACGCAAGTTTGGGGGTGTTTACTTCACACCCCGTCAAAGTTTGGGGTATTTTTATTATTTTCCCCGAATTTGAAATGAGACGAATTCAACATTTTTCGGGGGAAAAAAATTGTCATACATTAATAAATAAAATATAGTCAAAGTAGAGAATGTGAATAGTGTAAAATTGTCTATGTTGCAACTAAAAAGAGAAGATAGTATTCTTTTTCATAAGTCAACCGATTCAGTTAAAAAATCACGAATTTCAGCGAACTTAGCGATTCAGTCGATTTCAATATCACCAAATGGGCTTTCATTTGAGTTGCCTCTGAGTCGAATTTTTGATGAAATTTGGTGAACATGTTTTCCATGAAATGTAGATTATGTCCACCAAATTTTTTATTAAAATTCAATTGAAAAGTTAGTTAAATAAATTTTTGAAAATTGCACCGTTTTTAAGGCTTAAAATGGAGTTTTTTTCCAATAAATTATTTAACTAATTTTAATATGAAATTATGTGGACATAACCCACAATTCAAGAAGAACATGCTTACAAAATTTCATCAAAAACTTCGACCCAAAAGCACCTCAAATGAAAGAGGTCTAAGAATTGCAACTTTTAGACCTACTTTACATGAACATTTTCCTACCTACATGATACATGATCGATAAGGTATTTGACTATTTGACTGAAAATTAAGAGAAATATACAATACTACGTAAAAGTAAAAAAACATGAGTACATATTTGAGTTAATTACCTACTAAATAAGAGTACGTAAAATGTAGTCCACAATCAGAAATAGGACTACATTGTTTTTTATTCACTCGTAGGACTAATTACGTGAGATATTCATTATATTTAGTGAAAATCCTTCTGAAATAGGTTGAGACTGGATGTAGGAGGATTACATTACATCTGAATCATGATATATCTCGTGTCACCTTTTATATCAGCTCCTAATACA